CCCCCCACACCTTCTTCCCCCTTCCCCACAGTGAGGACCCCAAAGGCTGGGGGGGAGGGTGAGGGGGGTTTAGGAACCTCTCTCCCTCTTTCACTCCAGACTCACCGGCTATAATATGATTTAAGCATAAGGATTACATAATAATCCCAAGCATCATCATCATCACCACCACCATCATCATCACTCCCTTTTCTCTCTCCCCCCCTCCCTTCAGGTTTTTGGGATGGCACCTCATGGCCCAGCCTCCCCCTCAAAGCCCTATAGCCGCCCCACAGAACAACCCACCCACCCCCAAATTAAAAAAGGTTATGGACCTCCACGGCTCCTTTCATACTTCCACATCCTAGCCGCGGCCCCCCCAATAAGAGGCAACCCCATCCCCACCCACGACCACGACCCAAATCCCGTAACAGCCCCGCCGCCACCACCACCACGACGTTCTCGCGCCCTCCCCGCGTACGCTGGCGAGGCCCACGCGTGCGCAATACTGCCCCTCGGTCTGGTGCTGGCGTCACAGCCGGCGCCGCTCCCGTTGCCGTGGCAACAAAAGAAAAGCGTCCCCGGAATGTTTAAAGGCGCAGTAGCACCAAAATATTCATATTTTTATCTGATCCACGTGTCTTGTGTCTGCGAAAATCCACTCACCTCCACCCTCACCTTCCTTTATATTCAACTGTGGACATAATAAAATCATGCCTTTTACAATCTCAGCTAACCAAGACGAGAAGGAAGCACATAAGACATTAAACTGGCCCCTGCTCTTAAAAATTTCTGCAAAGAAGAAAAGCAAAAGTAACTCGTTTGGAACTCAACTTTGCTTGGGCTTCCAGTCGCCCCCCATCTAGTTATCCCTCTGAAGCTCACCCACCCCATCCCATAAACCACAAACCAGCATGCGGAACAAGTAGCACAGAGATCCGTGTTCGTAACACGGCACTTTCCGCCTTGCCAGTGCGAGTTGAGCCAAATATCTCTTCAATATCCCCATTTTACAGATGAGGAAAACAGTATGAGAGAGAGAGAGACGCAACTGGCACAAGGCCGAGAGGTTCAGCCCCTCCCTTCTTGCAATTTTATTTCCACTTGCTCAAGTAGGGTGAATCAGAAAACCTTGGAAATCTTTTTTTAATCATCCCAAGATCTCTTTTCTGTTTGCTTCTGCATGACCCTCCTTCTGCATAAAAGGTTCCCTCCAACACACACTTTATTTTCTTTCATTTGGAGGGGTGCATAGAGCAATGTGTTTTTTCCAGCCACGATCTTTAAATACACTGCCTGTTGACTTCTAGCCGTACCTAAACCTCCCAGTACAGCACAATGCACATCTTTCGAAGAAACCTTGCTGAAAAACTTTAGAGTTTGAGTGTGCTAGAATATTTGTGGAACTTTTCTTTATATTTTTTGGAGAGGAGAAGCTGTGAGAAAGAGTAACAACCACCAAAAAAAGAACAAGTTTGCAGGCAGATAATTTGCTTTTATTGGTGTGATGGGTTTTACAGGCAGTTTGCAGTCCAGATGTTACAGGCAAAAGCACAAAGAATCAGCTACGGATCTGGGGCATAAACAGCAACCGCTGACGGGTGTGCAGGACTCAGCCACCTCCTTTCTCCTTGTGCTCAATCATGCCTTTTACAATCAAATCCGGGATCTCCACAGCCAGCCATGGTCCCAGCTGCAAAAATAAAAAGGAGACTGTTGGGTGCCATTCCTGTTCTCCTACTCTGCCTCTTCAGTTCCAATGCAGGGATCTGAACGGTATGGACTACATCACCCACAATCCTTTATGACTATCTAATGCTGATGGGAATTGCAGGCCAAACACATCTAAAAGGCTCATGGGACTCGCCCTAGTCTACAGAAGGACTGGTGGCTTGATCATTGGATCGGTGCCAGACCCCCCCACCTTCCTTGAAATAGGACTGGGAGAACCAGCAGCCTTCCAAGTGCTATGGATGCCAGCTCCCAGTTGCATCTGTATGGCGCTATGGAGGATTTTCAATGAAAGGTAAGTTTTAAGCCCATAGGAACGCATTGAAGGGGTTTCAATGCGTTTCTATGGGCTTTTTAAAATCGCTTAGCGATGAAATTGCTTAATGACGTTTTTTCCGGAACGGATTAACGTCGCTAAGCGAGGCACCACTGTATAGACATTTATAAAGAAGGTGGCAAAGCTTTAGTGTAGGAATATTTCAACAAGCACATCTGGGCAGTTGCCAGACTTAACAACATTCTACTTTCTCAGGTTTTCCCCCAATTTACAAACCTTGTTAAGTTTATTTTCTTTCAGAGATCTCCTTTTTTCCCATCTGCATACATACTAAATGGCCAAATCCTACTTATGAGGCTTTCATTGGTCTGAGAATAGCACTTTACAGAGTAAGCAGGTACAGCACATCGATTTCAATTCTTTGTTTCACTTTCTAACTTGTGTTTTTCTCTGCCCCCATTCCACACTTCGCTCAATTGACACTCCATGTGACCCAAACCTCCCACCCCCCAACTTTCCCAAACTCATACCAAACATTTCAGCAACTCACCCCCAATGCCATGAGGTGGGCCAAACCAAATTTGGGGACATTCCTGGCCCACAAGGGCTTGAAATGGTCCGTCAGACATATTTTGCCTCCTCTGTGGAAAGAAAAGAAGTTGTTCATTCTCAGGCTTCAAAAAGTAGAGAAAAGGTATATTTAAAAAAGAAATATTGACCATGATTTATTCATGATTTATTTTCTCCTCAAAGAGGACCCAAGATGGATTATATCATTAGAAGGCAATATGTAAAGCCAGAAACACTAAGTATATAAAAACGTTGAAAAGGGTAAATAAAGATGACACTAAAAAATAGTAAACAAAATCAACACTACAAAACACATTCAAAAGCAACAAGATACAACACTTCATTTTAAAAAACTCACTCAAGGAGCCAGTCACTTGGGAAAAGCCCGCCTGGAGAGAAAAGTTTTTGTCTGTTTGTGGAAGGACAGCAGGGATGGGGGCCAGCCTGGTTTCCAGTGGGAGGG